GGCCTGGGCCGGGCCGGTTTTTAAAATTTTTACTTTTTATTTTTTTTAAAATTTTTAAAGAAAAAAGCAAAAATAAACATAATTTTGATAAAAAATTATATTATTAATTATTTGTAATTATGTAATTTACAAATATAAAAATTAAAATGATGTAAAATAATTATAGAATTTATAGAAATAAACAAATTAAAAATAATTGTAGATATCAAATGGGCTATTGAATTTATAGAAATAAACAAAATTAAAAATAATTGTAAAATTCAAAGAGTCCAAGAGCCCTAAGGCCCTATCAATAGGGGTGAGCACGGTTCGGTTCAAACCGAAAAAACCGACCGAACCGACCCGAATCGACCCGGAAAAAGCGGTTTTATGAGTAAGGCGGTTCGGGTCGGGTTGATAATTTTTCAAACCGACTCGAACCGAACCAACCGAATATATTTGTGCCTTTGATTTGTGGGTTTATTGATGTGTTCGATCACCATGAATAGTAATTGTAGGGAATTGATTCATACATAATCAATGTTCTAATGAGTCGGCTCCTTTTTTTGTCTCCACAAAGACCAAAGTCAAAACTTACTACACAAAGACAAAGCAAGTCTGTTACTAAAAAATTACAACGTCAGAGTCTAGTATTTAATCCAAAAGGACAAGTTACTTCACTTAAAAACAGTATACATACATGAGCAAGAATAATAAATTGAAGTGAAGTTAAAAAACAAATACATGCTGGCATAGGGTAATAATAATATATAAAAGATAAATTGAAGTGAAGTTATACTTGATGAAGTTAGAACCGAACAAACCGAACCGAACCGCACCGAACCGATTTGTAATGGTTCGGTTCGATTTTGAATTGTAGGTTGTTCGGTTCGGTTGTTCAAATTTTGGTAAAAACCGACCCGAACCGAACCGTGCTCACCCCTACCTATCAAAGACTTTTAAATATATATGTTGTAAGCTAGGATTTGAACCACTAACCTCCTCTCCAAACTCCTAAAGTTTACCACTAGACTAAATAGCCCAAACTATTCATGTCATTCAGATATTATACATAAACAAATTGTAAGTACTTATAGAAATGACATAAACAAATTTTATTATACATAAACATATACATAAAAAATATAAATTATATATATATAAGTATATTTATATAAGAGTATAAATATATATACACATATATAAACATAAACATATATAAACATAAACTTATATTTACATATATAAGTATATTCATATAATAGTATAAATACATAAAAGAGTATAAATATATATTTATATATCTATACATATATATAAACATAAACTTATATGTACATATATAATTATATTTATATAAGAGTATAAATATATATATACTATTATATAAATATAATTTTTATGTTTTATTGTTTTTTAAAATTTTTAAAAAAATAAAAAAATAAAAAAACAAAAAAATCCGGGATACTTATAAATGAGAGAGTATACTTATATATACTTATATACTAAGAGAGAGAGTATAAATATATATACTTATAAAAGAGAGAGTATACTTATATATACTTATATACTAAGAGAGAGAGTATAAATATATATATAAGAGAGAGCATACTTATACATATATATAATTATATAAGAGATATATACATATATAAGAGAGAATATACTTATATATATACTTATATTAGGAGAGAGCATACTTATATACTAAGAGAGAGTATACATTGTACACATATATATGAGAGAGTATACTTATACATATATATAATTATGTAAGAGATATATACATATATAAGAGAGAATATACTTATATATATACTTATATTAAGAGAGAGCATACTTATATATTTATACATATTTTATACATATATAAGAGAGAGTATACTTATCTATACTTATACATATATTAAGAGAGAGCATACTTATACATATATATACTTATATAAAAGAGAGTATACTTATATATACTTATGCAAATATATACTTATATAAGAGAGAGTATACTTTTATATACTTATATACTAAGAGAGAGTATAAATATATATATATAAGAGAGAGTATACACTGTACACATATATAAGAGAGAGCATACTTATACATATATATAATTATATAAGAGATATATACATATATAAGAGAGAATATACTTATATATAATATATATTATATATATATATATATATAGATATTATAATATTATATATATATATATATATATATATATATATATATATATATATATATATATATATATATATATATATGGAAAAGTGAATCTAAGGTGACACCTAGGCTCCACCTAAGGACGGCGCTAAAATCACATCATTCCCTAATATTTTTTACGATCCGCTCTGTTGAACTTAATTTACACGTTCTTAAACCTAAACACACCAATTTTGGGTGAACCTGTCGTGTTTGACCCTTCATCCACTCGCCGTAAATTTAACGGTTTCGAATGAATAGAACTTTTTGGACTACTCAACGAATGGTCAAAACACGACGGGTTCACCCCAAAATTGGTGAGTTTAAGAGCGTGTAGATCAAGTTCAACGGAGCGGATCGTAAAAAATATTAGGAATGATGTGATTTTAGGCCGCGTCCTTAGGTGGGAGCCTAGGGTGTCACCTTAGATTCACTTTTCCCTATATATATATATATATATATATATATATATATATATATATATATATATATATATATATATATTATATATATATATATATATATATATATATGTGTGTGTGTGTGTGTGTGTGTGTGTGTGTGTGGAAAAGTGTTCCTAAGGTGACGCCTTAGATAATCATCTAAGGACGCGGCCTAAAATCACATGATTGAGCTACATTGTGGATGATCTGCACCGTTGAACTTGATCTACATATTCTAAAACCCCAAACACATTAAGTTTGGGGTGAACCCATCGTCGTTTGACCCTCCGTCGAGCCATGTGAAAAGTTCTATTCATTCGAAACCGTTAAAACTGATACGAGTGGATGAATGGTCAAACGACGATGGGTTCATCCCAAACATGATGTGTTGGTGGTTTAGAAAATATAGATCAAGTTCAACGGAACGGATCATCCACAATATAGCTCAATCATGTGATTTTAGGCTGCATCCTTAGATGATTATCTAAGGCGACACCTTAGAAACACTTCTCCCATATATATATATATATATACATCTATTATACATGTAAAAAACAAAAAAATAAAAAAAATAAAAAAATTACTATTCCGGATCGGGCCCGGGTCGGGCACCGGGCTTTTTTGACACCCCTACAACAAAGTAGAACAGGCTCATTCACTCCTACATATTCAATGTCCACAAAGTACAACATACTCATAAAACATTAGCCAAAACTTCATATTATGTTATTATCGTGGCGTGCAATTTACGTTTGCTGCTGTTTAGTTCTATGTAATTCTGTTGCTTAAGTTATAAATCGGGT